GACGCCTAACCTTAGTGGTTTCCCTCCTTATGTATCTCCGTTAGTACGTAGGCTTTCAACGATATTGCGTCATTTTTAATTAAAGAGATGATCCTCCATCTGTCGATTTCTCCATTACGTATTTCATTCAGTATCCCTTTGTTCTTCATGATCAAATAATTTCTATGCAATGGTAGTTTCTTTTCATTATTGCTCATTCCTATTTTCTATTTGTGCCTTCTCAACACCCTTCTCCAGCAACGTCTTGCCGAATCTGAGTCTCGTAACGAAGCTCTCTGTCATTCGGCAACGAATGCTGCAAAACCATTGCTTCGTCAGCTTGAAACTCTCCAAGCAACACTGGCAAATCAGACTGCTACTTGGGAGCGATTAGAGAATAGTCTGCGAGAACGTATTTGTAAGTTTTTTGGTTTTATGCTTGCCAATTTTCCTATTTTAGATTTCCTCATTAGTACACTATTATGATCCAAATCGGCTTAACCTTTTATTAGGCTTTATCTTTTTACCCTAAGTTTCATAAACTGATAAACATTGTTAACCTCATAAATTGTGATGCATCAATATTTCTTAACTTCTCATTCAACAAAGAAACATCTAGTATAAGTTTCGGAGTATATACATACATTACTTCAAAGATTTTAAAAATCTTATATAAGGATAAAGAATGTGATAGTACTGCCCTTAGTTTCACACTGGTGGTTATCCCGAATCTTTAATTTTAATATGTTTGACTTATTGTAGCTCATAACCAAAAAGCACTTCTTTGAGATTGCATCAGAATAGAAGATCGCAGTAACTGACATAGTAATTTCATGTGGTAATGATGCATATAACAATGCGATAAAAAAAGATGTTCCTTAAGTGACCTATATAAATAGAATAAAGGCATACTGAAAATGTATGAGATGTATTTACCCTATCTCGTTTAACGTGAAGAAAGCCTGGTGGCTGAATTTTCCAACAAAGATATCAGTAGACCTTACGCTTCCATTGCATTTCACTTAGCCTTGCTCCCCTAAAAGCAAAATACGATTGAATGAGGTTTGCTATTGCTTTAAAAGTTAGATAAAGTATGTTTTAAAATATATAGTAGAATATTTTAATATTTTAAGTTATGAATATCTATATTTGCGTAACTGTTTCTAATCAACAGTACATTTTTTCACTAATCACAGCAGAGGAGCAGCGAGTCACTGCGGCCTCAGCCGAGTCTGAGGCTGCCTTGAGGCGCCAATTTGCCAAATCCGAAACACAGAGGGCAGAATACGAAACTGAACTGGCTGAGCTCACCAAACAGCGTGACAACCTTCTTTCCCAGCTATCTGATAAAGATTTAAAGCTTAAGGAACTGCAACAGAAAGATATTGAGTAAATTGGCTGTCTCGTTTTTGTAGAGTTTAGTTAACTTTTTAGTGGATATGCACTTTTTTAATGATTATTT